TAAAAATTACACATAGGTAACATAATTTGTGGCTTAAAAACATAGTATTCCTAAAGTTTTTTAGGTAAACTCATTTATTTCTTTGCATACTCAGAGCTCCTATGCCTCCAATTACCTGGAGGAGTGTTGGGTGTACAGGGAATACAGATGGAACAAGATAAATTTATTCAATGTGACCTGCTTATCATGTGGTTTTTTTCAGTGTGCTCAACTAAGTTTCTTTGAGCTTCGTGTCAAACACACACCTTTTACAAACTTAACAATGCTTTCACCTTCTGAAATGTACAGCTGAACTTGTCTCTTTCTTACCTTCCCTTCTGCAATGCAAAAAATCATAATAAAGAATTCCATGAATTTGTCTGGTCTTCTAAACACAAGAAATTGCATAAATCCAGGAAAAGGTAGATTGTCCCACAAAGTGCATATTTTAGACAAAGCTACAGGAGTATCTGCTCTTGCCAAGGTCTGATTCCAGAGGAGCTCAAAAATGTGTGCCAAACTTTAGGAGCACGAGGAGTCTCATCAACAAACTCCACAAGTGGAGGTAAACACATACACGAGCACTCTGATGAACCTAAGCCTACATTTCATTATTGTAACACCAGCAGTTCCATGTCTGTGCACTTGTACTTTGTCATTTACAGACTATGTGCTCCCCTTCCCTGAAAGATTTGTTGGCATTGCTCTAGGAATTAATTACTACAGTTATACACTTATACTAAAAATTCTGATACCATGCAAAAGCTATTTACATTTGTAGTTCCTAATACTGAAGATGCCGATTTTTATTCACTTCAGTATACACATTTGGGAAGTTGCAAAACTGAGTGCATGGACACTGGAAACGGAATTGATAGGAAAACATGATTATGGCTCAAATAGGATTTTTCTGTGTAAAAATAAAGCAAAATTGAGAATTTGCAAAACTTGTGGAATTTCAAAATCCTAGGCAGTCCAATTCAAAACCCTGGGTTTACTGAAGCTGATACCTTTGCAGATATGACAAAAAATATGTGGTGACATGTTTTCTTTTAATTTCATGCAGAACTAGCCCTTTGCAAGGTGCAGTAACAACTCTCCAGGGTATCATGCTGACATACTGCTTTTTTGCTTGCTGAAGTCATTTGGTAAGAAGTTATTCAATTACAGACAAAGCATGTTTTGACCAAGCAACTTTGTAGACAAGAAGCCCTTATATTTACACTAGATCCCGAAAAGATTTACACAAATTTATAGATTTACATTATAATTAGACTATGGTTTATGCTAATTTTCTGTGATTTTATACAACTTTTTTTTCTATTTGGAACTTCCTAAGCTACTGCATTAAGTAAGATCATGTTCACCAATCAGTGCTTCATTCTAATTTTAATAATTCAAGTAGTGACATATTGCTCTTTTCATTTTGCCTGAAATAGAAAAAAAATATTTTCTTAGACATCTTCCATTCAAACAAACTTGCATCCTGCCTTTACAGCCCTCTCCCGTTCCCTGAGGAAATCTGCTTCAACTATTTTCTTTTTTCCTGTCTTCCAGAGACAGCTTTTAACAAACATTTTTGTAACTTGTTATTATTTGTTTATCTGGCCCATTGCCATTACATATCATATATTAATTTATGCTGGGTATCACATACTATGTTAAAGACTCCAGAATCAAACCTGAATCTTTAAGAGGACTGGCAAACAGTAAATACCAATACTCAAACATTTTAGAATGTTCGAGCCCATCTTTAGATTTTAATTACATAAAGAATTCAGATTTAATTCTGAAAGAGCATTTATATTGCTAAATTTATTTCCCTCAAGGGTATATGAGAGATCTCACATTCAGATTCAAATACACAAGGAGAAACATTCTAGGCATTAAGATGTGTCAAAAACTAGCAGAACACCAGCTTGTTACTAAATTTATCTATTCTATTTCACCAGCTGAGCAAATTCTTGCTGTGAGTGTGAGCAAACACCAGAGCAACCTGTACTTTCTTCTGGCTGGTGCCATCATAATCAGCCTGATTTCTGTTCCCAAAGTCTTTCTGCAGTGCTGTTACAAATGGTCTGTGTGAAGCACAAAGAACATAATAAGTGCTTTCTGTACTGAGGAATAAGCTCAAACAATTACAAGTGGAGACACACATCTCCTTAAATCCTGCATTTGGATAGAACTGAGAGCACGGTCAGTGTGAAAGCACTGTAGTCCAAGATGCAAAGAGCAGTTCAAGTGGGCACTCTCAAGTGTAGGTGTACATTGGGTGTTCTGCAATCTTGAAGGTTTTCCAGCTCCATATGGATGTAAAGAAAGGCTGCTCCCATCTAGCAGACAGAGAGTGTATTTAAATGCTCAGCTTGAATTCTGCTCATGAATTCCTTCTAGGTATTTTCCAAAGATGCCATAAAATTCTGCTGAAGTTATATTAGAATAAAATCTACACTATGATACCTTAAACCTGCCTGGTTATATCTACTAGAAAAACCTGACAAATGCAGTGCTCTCAGTTCCCAGTGCTACTACCTCACAGGAAGATCGAATAGAATGTAAGATCAAGATGAGGCTTTACAAACATTTCCATATCAAAATATTTCTATGAAAAGGTGCAGCACAACTTTCTCCAGCCTCTAACTTTGAACCAATATAAGGAAGCCTCACTGGCAACCTCCAACATCTCTGCAAATGGCCAGCAAGCCTCTAATTCTATGTCCTGCTTCCCAGATCATGTTCCAACACACTGACAGGCAGCAGAAGAAAGAAATCACTTTGTAGTGTGACACTTAACAACGACTGTGCTGGGTTCTCAACAGGGCCATTTTAGCTGGTCCCAGGCCACAGCAAGCAGTAGAAAACCATCCCAATGTACTGGATCAGAATGAATGACAAAATGAAATTAGTGCCAAGAACATCTGGGACATTGCATGGTGCTAGAAACTATCGTGCAGTTCTACAAGAACTTTTGGCTAAAGCTTTACCTCCTGTTGTGCTGCCTATCTACTAATTATTGTGAAAAATGAAAGGGAGGACTAGAGATGGTGACGTTGGTGATAGCCAATGACTGCAAGGAACTTGCAGACAGTTAGACAACTAATGTTCATACAGGCTAAAGATTTGGAAGAAATAACCCAACAGACAAGCATTCTGCTCAGCTTATTCACACAAGCAGGACTGACCTGCCAACAGGTACATTGTAGGTGATGACTGGTATTGGTTAAAAGTGTAAACCTGCAAATTGGAACAGAAGAAGTTTTACTCACTTCACATCTCATATATACTGTTGTGTTTGTGCAAGGCACTAGAGAATCAGGCACATTGTTTTGTGTGGAAACCATTTTATGATTAAGATGATCTGAGTTTTAACGTTCAATAGGTTCACAGAAGAGCAGTTGGAGAACAATCAACATTAAAAATCGCCATTAAAATTTCCCACTTTTAAAATTATCTCGTTTTCCAGATCTTTTGGGGGATGGGGTGAATGGGGAATTGGGAAAGACCTTTGTTCTAACAAGGAAACTCCTAAAGAAAAATGTTTGGGATCAGTTGATGTCCACTCTGATACTGATGCTGCCAATTTCTGTTACCAACGTCGATACTATTAACAGTAAAACAGATTCTTACATTTTTATATCAAGTTCTGGCTCTTGACATAGATGAACCCACATCCAAATCCCTGTAGCACATAGACACTGCATGATGAGTTCAAGACATTCTTTCTGACTTCTCTGGGGGGGTCAGAGACAATGACCTACCTCCCACAGAAACTGAAAACTGGAACTGCCATGTAGTGATGACAATAAATGACCACAGCACGCAGGGTAGCTCTTCCTCAGGAGAACAAAGAATCTGACTGTTTTGGTCAGTGCAGAAATGTGAGATAAATCAGATGTTAGGAGGACAGCGACACAGCCCAAAGCAACACAGACGCAAGAGACTGAAAAATGGAAGCGATTACTCCAGGTTATGATCAGTAGTGCCAGCAGAAGGAAGGCTTAGCTGACACTTCTGTTCTTGCAGGCTGTGTGAGGATCACGAAGGGGATCTCGGCAGGCGCTGAACTGCTCGTGCAACATGAGTTAAGTGGAGTTCAAAGCACAGAGTGACTGCAGAATGCCCTGCGCACGGCCAGGGGCCCGGCTCCTGCGTTCAGACATGGTACCTCGACAAGCGCCTACTTTTGAATCAAAATGCCACAGCCATCAGATCCAAAACTGATTTAATATAAACCACTGATTAAAGGTTGTGTAAAAATACTGGTAATTTAGCTTCCTCCTGGCAGGATTTATCAATACCTTCTGTTTTCTGCCTCATTAACACCAGCTTTTTCTCCAGTTTTGATGGTTTGTGGCTTTAGTCCTTTATGTAATCCATATTCAATTTGTACCAGAGGGCAATCTGGTCTGGCAACAAGACCATTCTTCTGTGCTGAAATTTATAATGAATAATCTTATTACAATAATTTGTAAAGTGCCCTCAGGAAGGTGCTCACAATGCCACGACATTATAGAAACAATATACAATCTGATACATTATTTTCAAAAAAATCCTCCAAAGAAAAACAACAAATGTATAAGCAAATACTGTTAGTCCAACAATAGTCGAATTATGGAATGCTCTATACTCTTTGAGTGCTTTTAAAATGGGAGGCGGGGAACAAATTGGCAGGAGTATCTTGGGAAAGTCCCAGATTTTTTAAGCTCTACCAAAGTAAGTACACCATCAGCAAGCCCAGTGTTTGAAGATGAAATGTTTATGACTTACTATGAGGTATTTGACTAAGGAAATTGAAAAAATACAACATATAAAGAAAAACCATGTTTTACTAAGAGGAAAGAAGATAATACAGTGTCTAGTATATCCACTGACCCTTAGTGTCTTTTTTTTCTATTTGTAAAGAAAACAATCTTCCTCTTCCCTGTTAATTTCAGATTTTATATACACATATAAAACTATATAACATAAATAGTTTTACATGTATATACACACATACAAAAATACTCATACACACTCGTGTATATATCTCAGGGTCTTACTGGATTTCAGAGTCTGTTTCTCTTTTTTTGTGACTTAAAGAACACAACTGGGCAAACAATCAAGTAATTTCATGCATGCAAGGGTATCTTTCCACTTGTGCATGTAAATTACACAATCTGTAAATAACTGCAGAAATAGCACGCTCAAATTAGGCACCTGATTGCCCAATTAACTTGTTCATAGAAAATCTGATGATAACCTTCAGTAGCTTCTGTTATGGATTCTTCTTTTCACTGCTACCTTATGGAATCCACAGTGTATATTCCAAACAACTGCACTGTTATTTTGTGCTTTTGCATAGACACAAGCAGCACTACACACTTAATAAAGCTATCAAGTGAACTTTGGACCAGATTTCAGAAATTTGTTTAGATACTTAAAAGTGCTCTTACAAGAATGAGTGAGCTTAGACAATTTAAAAAAAAAAAAAGGTAGAAAAAGATTTGGTCTAATTTCAATTGGTTCAAATCTTATGAAAAAAAAAAACCCCAAGCATTTGTGGCCCTTCATGCCTCTATTAATAGGCAAAGTTTTGCTTCTGTGTCTTTGATTTTTTTAAAGTGTCTTGTTTTCTTTAACAGGCAAGTATTATTTCGCCATATACATTCAATTCCTAGTAAATCCTTCCTTTATTTTTGCATTGAAATAATCATTAATTAACAGTAATTTGATACAAGTGGACACAGAACACCAGGCTGCCCCATTCCAGTGTATACTTCCTAATGGACAGAGAAACTGAAATACCCAAATCAATCCAAGTACTGCAAACAGAGAAACTCGTTAATTCATGTATCAAAATGAGTTAAGAAATGGTCTTTTACCACAAGTATGTTGCTCCTTGGCTGTTGTACTTCTTTTTCTGAGATGATGTTGTGGAAAGAGGGTATTTTCTTTTCTCTACCAATTTTTTGCATCAACTAAATCTTAGTAGCTTCAAAAGAAAAAGCTGAATGAAGCATTATCTTAACAATGATCTCTGAAATAAGAAAAGGAAGTAAAAGCAGAACTGCTGGGCTAGATTGTGTCCCTGAATTAGGTGTTACATATAATCCTAGTGGCTGCATTAACCAGTTCTTCATAGGCCTCCTGCAGCAACAGCTGTGCTGGTCCAACTGTTCATCTCCCCTCAGAAAGGGGAGAGCAATAAGAAAAGCTACTGGAGCCCCCTTATATTCTGGAGGTTTCAATCAAGCATCACCGTATTTCTTTCCTCAGACTTCTCATGACAGTATCTGCTGGTGACTTGCCATTGCTGCTTTTCTTCCTCTAGAGGATCAAAATCCAATTTGGTACTTAAATTACTTTGTTCCACTCCACTGATCTGTGCCTCTTTAAAAAATCTTCCAGGAGTGCTGCTTGGCCTTCTTGCAAAATAAGCTTTACTTTTCTCCTATAAATAAACAAATGAAAATCCCAACTCTTCCCCACATGCCCTTTTCAAAAATATAATCATGATCATTTGTATCGGGAGAATTATTTAGCAGTCTCCAGTCTTAGGACAGCTTTTGTTGAGAAAACTGTAGCTTATATGACTCTGAAGTGTTTATTAGAAAGCTTTCAAAAAGAGATCTTCATTTCAGGAAAAGAAAAATTGTTCAGTTTAGCAAATACAGATGTTCACAGCAGAAAGACTGAAATGGTTAAAAATGATCCTAGGGAGCAAGCAGCTCACAGAGTTAGCAAAATAATTAACTTTTCCTTTCTTTTACAGAAGAACACTAATAGCTGCTCTGGTCTCCACACTTACTGAGACAGATTTTGTTGTGTGGTCTTGGTTTTGCTTTTTTTTTTTTTTTCTCTATTGCTCCACACAGGTTTTAATTAGTGCTTCTCCTTGGCTACAAGTGCTTCATTTTGAAATACAAAGCTCTTAAAAAACAAAAAAACAGACAAAAAAACCCACCCCAAAAAACCAAAACGCCCAACACCACATCACTGGAGGGGAAAATGGGAAGTGATACAGTGCAGCTGCAGCAATCTGCTTCTGCTGTTGTCCTCCCTCTCCCCAAATCCTCTGCATAATTTCAATCGTTAGTCGATGAACCTTTGGCAGGCCTTCTTCCATCGGCAGGCAGTGCACCACATATCTCTGTTCTCCATCCCATAGACCTTCCGACACTTTTTCCCCTCCCCTCTAGGCTTCCTGTCAGAGAGAAAGGGAAGCTCGTTAACAAAATGCTTTTGCAGTTTTGCTTTTCACCCTAAGACCAAGACAACAAACCCAAAGGAGTGCAGAGAACCCATGGCCTTTCCCGGGGTTTGAGCTGTTTTCATTCCAGCTGGCGGCTGATGAAGTGACAGACACGTATGGCCATGAGTCAGTCCATCACTCTCAGGGACCAGTCTTCTACTCGCCTGGCTTCCACAGCTTCTGCAGCAGCTGCTGAGCCTGCTCCTCTGCTCCTGGGATGATCCCAGGAACACACAGCCTTGATTTTAGCCAGCACCTAAATCTGGACTTAGTAAATTATACTTTAGCCACATGAAGTGCCAAGCTGTAACGCACAGTCATAGCTGTTCCACAATACAGGCTAGGCCATGTCAGGGTAAAGTGCTGCAGAGCTGTGGTAAAAATATTTGGAATAGCTCAGAGCAGCAGACCTTGACCACCAGCAGCATCAGCTATGCCAAAGCAGAGAAAAAGTACCAGCTCCTAATCTTGCTGGTCCTTCTTCCAGTTTGCTCTGAGCTCATTGACTGAAAACAATTGAGTGGCAAGTTTTAACCCTTGCTCTCACTTGCAGCACATTCTTGTGTGTACCTTCGCTGTGGTCCCCAAGGCCAGCAAGGTGGGCAGCATCTGCTTTTAAAGCTTGTCCTGTTTACCATCTTACAACCACACTCAAAAGATGACAAGTTTAGAAAATGATCCAAGTAACTGTTAAAATGGATTTTTAAAAAAATTCAGTACACAGCAAGACAGCAAACCTGAGGAGTAATGCTTCACCAAGCAATCCAACATTCACTACTGCAATGCCATCTGTCCTGGCATCTTCATATAAGGTAACTTTACCAACAGAACTGTTTAACACCTGTTTTACATGTTGCATGGCACACATGGGATTCCTCTCTTCCACACCCACACATTTTCTGATAAGTGAACATTAATTAATGGGCACAATCCATGAATTGGGCAGATCTCAAGTTTGGTTTGCAGCATATGCACTGATCTGAGAGTCATGAAGAAAATTAATGGCATTAAATCTTCTTTTTGTCTCATTTTTAGGGTACAGCCACCTTTAGGACTATAGGAAATAAGGAGTTTCTTTACTGTAAGAAATTTAGTATTATGGTCTGATTTTTTACTCTTTTTAAACACTTTAAAAGTAGATTCTGGTCAAATATCAGTTAGATTTAATGGTAATTAATGCAGCTTATGTCTAGGAAAACAAGGCATAAAAAGCTTTGCCTTGATCTGATTTATTGTAACACAGGGTTTCTTATAGTTCAATCAAAGCCAAACACTGTTCTGACTAAATGGTGATAAACACGTAAGACAGTCCAGCCTTGAAGAGCTCTAGCAAGAACCTGCCTGACAAGTGCAATCAGGGTTGGAGGTGGGCTTTTGCTGTTTCTCTGGCCACTGACAGCTTATTTACTGAATGCCCTTCAGGTTGTGAGGCTGTAGTGTCAGCAGGAGCTAGTGGTCCCATACCTCAAGCCAAATGCTACTCTAGGCGGTGATGAAAGAACTGTGTGGGACTGTTTCTGCTCTCCACTCCCTGCAGGACGATTATGGGTTGGTGAGACCTGTTAATACAGACAAAAAAGCTGCTTATGAAGAACATACACATATGAATGCAGAATAAATACTTTTTCCCAGAAAACACAAATTATGCTGCTTGGTGTCAAGGACTCCCAGGAAAGATGACTATATAACATACAAACGTAATTAAGCTGTAAGTTTATTTAGCATTAGGTACATTGTTTTAGCTTCTCGTCTCGCTGTATTACCAGTCATCCTCCTAGAGCAATCCAAAATACAGAACAGCAACACTGCATGTTTTGGAAAAGACAAGAAACACATTCATTCTTATTTAAAATCTCTAACTAGCTCTTAGGAAAACCTTCTCCAATTTAAGCAAAGAAAATAACTGGAAAAATAAACTCTGTCCTGTGCTGAGATCAATACCAATAATCTCCTATGAAATAAAGGGATTTTACCTGTTGCTCCTGTCACTTGGCACTTTGTGGAGAGACCCTTGGAGAAGTGGGTTTGTTGAAGAGCACTTACAGCAGGACCCCTCAAGGTGTAACAGACAGGGAGTGCAATGCAGCCCTTCTGATCAAAGTTGCTAACAAGAGGTATCTCCTTACTCTGTACAGTAAACCTTCTCAGCAGGTGTCCTCTTTGTGAATGCTTCCAAGGGAAGGGTGTAGTTTGGTCTTCTGAGACTTTCAAAGAAGTCTCCTACATGAGTATGGGGCTTGGCAACATCATTCAAGCAATCGCATGGCATAAAGCTTGGCCTTAAATAATACCTAAATTATTTTACCATGGTCTTATTTTGCCCCTGTGTGAAGGCCACAACCACTTTACATCTAAAATACCAGAAAAAAATTCTGAACACTTTTTTTTTGCTGTATATTGAATGTAGCAAGCTTCATTTGGGCATGTAGTGCACAGTCAGCCTCCTGCTGCCAGGAACTGCAGATATGGTCATAGTTCTCTGCACTGCTATGACTTTTCCCTCCTGCCCTTTTGAAGCTTTACAATATCTGGAAGAGAGTGAACTGACTGACCTTACTTGAAGAGAATTACTTTATGCGCTTTGATTTTTGATACAAAGTCTATTTTAAAGCTACTCTACAGTAGCAAAAGACTGATCCTTGTAATTGAGTGCAGACTCTTTCAACTTTTACTCCTGACTAGTGGCAAGAGAAATGTTTGATTTAACTATGCATGTGGCTCACACTCTGAACAAACTTAGACCATTACTGATATACAAAAGATACCTGCAAAACTTGGAAGAAATTTCTTCTCTCTGCTAGTTTAACATGTTTTGTATATCCAAAGACCACACTAGCTCCTTTTGTTCCATTCCCTCCAGAATACTAAGGGTAGCTTGCTCTTTGCTACTTTTTTCCAAATGTTTATCAACCATTTTCTTTGTTTCACCTAAGAATGATTGAAACACTGAAGATAAAATGCAAAGCAATAGCACTTCTGTAGTACTTGGCATTCACCAGACAATGTACAGTTTTCCAGTCATTACCAGTAACCAGAGATCTCCAGTCGTTGTGCTAAGGTTCAGAAACATTTTAAAAACCAGAAATTATTATATGTCTACCACTAGTAACTGACACTCAATATATTAGCTGCTTGTCATTGAACAGAGGAGGCCTCCGATGTTATAAGCAATTATCTTGCTTACTTCCAAACAGAGATGAGGCTGGAGCAGTAATTGTAGCGTACAAACTCCTCCCTCACATTCTCCTGAGAGGGTCTCTGCATGATGGTTCCACAGACTGGCACACTAAGGCAGCTACACACCACTGAAGCTGAGCTTCAGTGTATTTTGATAGGCTTTGCAGCAGTCAGCTGCTCTCTGTAGGGAACACTAAGAGCAGATTAAGAGTAAGCTCTGAGAAGGCAATCCTTGCCCTTGGAGGCTTTTAATGTCTGAAGCGCTGTCTAATGCAGGGTAAAATAACGCTGTTTGTCTGAAGCAAGGACCTGGAGTTTCCAGTTACAACTCCTGGGGGTGAGGAACTGTGGTTACAGAGAAGATTTGTGATCTGTAAGCATCAGATTATCAAAGATCTTGCCTGTTCAACCTTTTTGGGTCTTATGAGCAGGCAGATGTAAGTCAGTATCAGACGGCAGAGACCATACCGACATTCAAGAAGACTTTTACCCTACATTACATTGAAGTGGAAGTACATGGTCACTATGTTAAGTCCTCCAGTTCCAAGACATATGGACTTCACCATGGCTCATCCCTTTTGCATCGCTTAATTCATTCCCCTAGTGCATCCCTAGAGTGTGGCTTATTTATTCTTCTAATTCAGCCTCAACTGGTAGAACAATCAGTCTGTCCTTTTTGCTTCATGCAGGGAACCACACCTCACAATGGATTATAACTGTTCCAGTGTTCAACCCTTCACCTGCAAAGTTATCTTAGAAAAATAGTATGCAAAAGTCTATTTGCCATCTGCCTTGGAATCAAACCTATGCATGATTCAGAGCACAAAGGGGTTTGGAGGCTCTCCTATTTACAGAACCACAGGATAACCTGAGCTGGAAGGGACCCGTAAGGATCATCAACTCCAACTCCCAGCCCTGCAGAGAACATCCCCAAGAGTCACACTATATGCCCGAGAGCATTGTCCAAACACTTCTTGAACTCTGCCAGGCTGGTGTTGTGACCACTTCCCTGGGGAGCCTCTTCCAGTGCCCAACCATCCTCTGGGAGAAGAACCTTTTTCTAATATTTGAACTAAGTCTACTTTGACAGAGCTCCAGGCCATTCCCTCAGGTCCTGTCCCTGGTAATAACAGAGCAGAGATCAGTACCTGCTCCTTCACTTCCCTTCATGAGGAAGTTGCAGACTGCAATGAGGTCTCCCCTCAGTCTTCTTTTCTCCAGGCTGAACAGACCAAGTGACCTTGGCCACTTCTCCTCTCTTATGACTACAAGAAGTCTAAATAAATGCCTGTGTTTAGATGTTGAAAATACTCCTGAGCCTAAACCAGCCACATACCGAGCCCAACTGATCCAGCAGCATGTATGTGTTGTTTTGAGGTGCTCAGTTACTTGCTGATAAGTACACCCATATTCACAAAGGCTTTTCAGCACTGTTCTGCTAGACTTTCTGAAAACAAGGACTTAATGCAACTCATGGTGTTTGAACACCCCAGTTCCCAGGACAGAAAGCAGGAAGTGCTCAATGTCACTGAAATTCAGTGTCCACAGGAATGAAAGGGGGAAACACTACAGTATGTGTCAAAAAATAAACATGAAAGGAGATTATATTGAAAATGTGTAGACCTATGCACTTTTTCAAATCAGTACCTAATCTTTTCCTGCTCAGTGGTTTGTCCAGGCCAGAAAAGTATTCCAAAGCCATTTTAGAAAACTGCTTGCTTAAATATTAAGGGTCAGGCAAAAAGTAATGGTTTGGACTTATTCTCCGAGGTTCCCTTGGGTGCTGTAGATTTGTGTCTCATCTCAGGGACTGCACCGCGTATGTCACAAGTGTGTGACTTTGTTATGCTGGCTGTGTCACATAGTCTGGCCTTAAATAAACCCCATCGGAGAAGGAGAAAGTCTAAATGCAGGTGAAGTACCTACACTCAGTGTAAGGGTGGGAATTGCCAGACCCCTGATTTTGTAAAGCAATATCTAATTTACTTTGAAACAGAAATAAAACTTTAATTTAATATACAGGTATTTAACATAAATTTGTATTTGCACCCTCACTTACTGCACATAACTTTTCACTGCAGGCAAGCCTTTGTAACTCATTAATGATCACACTGATGACAAAGTAGTCAAATGTCAACCTGGAAGATTTTTTTCTTACTGTTATTTTTTGCTTTGTTAAACAACCTTATAAATGTTGTTAGAGCTATAATGGCAGTTCACACGGTTCCCTGAGCAGTTTATAATTCTGCATCACTGCTTCCCCAGGTTTTGTATTGGGATTACTTTCAAATTGTACTTAAATCATTGCCATCTCCACTGAATTCTCAGAAATTGATTTAGCATTTCTTAAATTCTATTGAGAACTCTCCACTCTATAGCCACAGATCAGTGTTGTTGCCTGAACCAGTAAAGTTGACGCATACGTGTCTAATCCTGTCCTCTTAAGTGTCTGATTTACAATGTGACTAATTGCATTTTTAGATTCCCAACACTCCTGGCACCAGTTTCTGCTACTTCACAAAAGGAGCCAGTTTCATAATTACTCCGTATCAACCCCATTGTTGGGAAATCAAATTCTCAGGGAACTCTGTGGATAGCACACTCTGTCAAGGCACTCTTGTTGAAATTGCTGCCAGCATGATGTCTTTCACTGTTAGTTGCTCCTTGATGGAATTTAATAAATATTCATTGGCAGAGTGCAATGTAATTGATTCAGTCACTTTCATTTTTATCAGCTCTGCAGGATGCCACAGCCTCTGCAGAAAATCTCCAAGATTTGCTAAAGGTTGACAGTAAGAAGCTTTGGAGACTCACTTGGAGAAGAGAAGGGAGGGAAATAGCATCTCTTATCACCTTGTCTAATATTCACTGTCAGGAGAAAAAAAAAGCTATGTGGTTCTTTGGATGAGCAATGTGCCTTATATAATGCACTGTAAAAATTCATAAATTCATATAGTGCAATATTAAATGAGATGGTATGATATAAAAAAGGTTTATGATTAGAGAATATCAATTTATCATGAAAACAGTGCTTTCCAATAAAATGAGGATACTTTACATTAATATTTATTTATAGTCTTCATAGAGAAAATTTCCCATTACTCATAAACAGTGATTTGCATTTACTTTCAGCAGTCCCCACACCAGACACTACAATCTGCATCCCTTGCAACTCTTCCATAAAGGTTTTTCACTCCCTCCACAGTACCACACCTACACTGTGGTACGTTTAGAATAACTGTAATTCTGTGTTTAAGCAAATATCACATTTCTGCAGTCCTGTTGATGCCAGTTTTTTGAAAGCAAGGTTGAATTTCCATCTAATACATTCTCATTAGAAAGCTGTGAAACTGCAATATGTATTAATAAAAAAATGTAATAAATACTGAACATATTTCCCGTACAAAACAACATTTTCCTGCTATCAGTAGAGGCTACATATTTGTAGTCTCCTAAAATGGGACTTCGCATTTCATTTTATTGTTTCCTTCAGTTGCCTTTCAAAAATGCTTCATCTTCAGACTTTATTTAGCTAACAGCCCCACTGCCTGACTCCAACTGGCCTGTTAGCCTAACTATCAACAGGCTGATTTTCCATCTAGTTTTTAAGAAATCTCTTAATGGTACAAAAAAGAAGCACATAGCGCCAGGCTCTGCACCTACCAGAATGTTCTTTTGTAAGTATATAGTTTAAAAAATATATGCTATAGATACTACAGATTCAATTGTCTGCTTGTAGACACTGATGCAAAAATAACCTAACTGCACTGATAGAGAGTTACAAAGGTGTTACTAACATCCATGCTGGCAAACTCAGGCACATGTTTGTTTCTTTTTGGTATCTGTTATGTTTTTACATTTACTTTACATTTACTTCCATGGCTACAAACTATGAAAATAAAGCAAAAAGATGTAAAAACCCTTTTTTCTCCCCTTCTCTCCTTTTTTGATGCACACTTACTGGAATGCCGGTGAAGGTAACAGGAGGTGACTGCCAAGAGATGCTAAAGCTACTGCCATTGGGAGTGAATTTTGCTGACCCTGGAATGTTCACCGGAGGAGTGGCCTGTGTGAAAAGAAAGTATTATTCCAGCAAGAAGAACTATTCCTCTTCTGAAGCATTTCAAAGGATCTTTCATTCCTTGAAATGGTAAATATCTGAGAGATTTTCCAAGGTATAAAAGAACTCCATGGTGACAAGCATTTTACCCTTGTGAGAGGGATAATCATGGATAAGATAGTAAGGAAGGGTAAGAGTTATATATACACCACTGTTCCTAAACCTTGTTTAGAGAAAGATGAATGCTCTCAAAAGAATCCATAGAAAACGTTTATGAGCTAGGTCTGTTAAAAAAATAGACAAAATCAAATGTCACATACAAGTAACTTCTAAAATAATGCCAGGAAGGAGCAAAAACTACTTCACAAATGATCACCTGTTCCACAGTGATAAACAAGGCCATACTTAAACTCATGGCAGTTGTTTTACACAATTTTAGTGTGGATAGCAAAGCTTCTTGGATGGTAGTGATTAGCAGTAAGTGCTGCCCATTTCTCATTTATCAGACAAATGTTAAGAGTCATCCCAATTAAAACGGTTTTTCCTATTAAAAACAAGGAGCTGTAAATCATCCTTTGGATTCAAAAAACTGCTCTTGAAATACTAAACTAAAGCAAGTATTTTAATTACTTCTGGGCTCCTTGAACTCCTATGTTCTTCCCATCCAGGCTGTAACACCCAGTGCTGCCCTGGCATGCAAGTGTGATAACCTGAGCTTAGACTGCCCGGCATTTTTTCATCTTGTGCCTTTTCTTTGGTTTTCTCACTGGGTTATGAGTTTCCATGAATTTTTCCCTGCCTCTTTTTGAATCCCATTTAATTTTCAGAATCATGAAATTCATAGTTGTGTAGCTACCTTGCCTAGCAGGAGTGTGAGCAGCCAGCATGAACAAAGGCTCACTTTGACCCTTGAATTTCAAGCTGTCACCACTAAAAAAACCCCTCCTTGGTTTCTCTTTACAAAGAATTTGCTAAAATGAGTTTTCGTTTTCACTTCTGCCTTTCAGGTAACTGTACATGACAACAATACAATACACTCATTTAAGCATTGTTTGTGTTTGGGGCTGCTGAAATTGTCTCACTGCTTCAGAAAGAAAGTGCTTCCTTGAGCCACCAGGCAGAGAGGAGTGATGACAAACTACAACCTGATAGTCCCCATTAAAGATAATCTTCCAAGTAAACAAGGGCTGAAGCAATTCCCTAGAGCCTTTCTAGGAAAAGGAAGGTGAGACCATCAGATGCCTCCGTGTATGGCAGCAACGCTCTGTGGGCTGCCAAGCTGCTGACAGCTCCAAGAGAATCCACACAGACATTCAGTCAAACATCCACTGAGCTCCAGAAAATATAAAAACCTCTTTGAAAGTTGTCAAGAACAATCTGGCAACTTCAGATGGTACCAGTAGTTCTGCATCATAACCCTATTTAAATGGAAAGGAGTGAATGACCACAGAGCTCCAGACAGAAAAAACTGGAGAGAGCTGGATGAGCAGTGAGGCAGCACTGCCTCTGCTCAGCATCCCACAAGGATGGCAGCTCAAACCCAGGGTCAGCACAGCAACTTCCTCAGGTATTTTAATAGGACCTGGAAGGGAAATCCTAGGTGCTGAAACAGTACAGCAACAGTACAACTGAAACAGCTGCCTGTAGCTCCTCTGTAGTTAAAATTAGCAGGTACAGACAATAGTTTTGTAAAGAAACATCAAGTTTAAAACTGATGCAATTTGCAGTTGCTTAAAATACCACATTGCTCAATTCCTTTTGCTCAGTGCCTAAATACCTACCTCAGACATGATCAGACTTAGTCAATCACCTTGTTTACTTGTTTCCGAGGTGTGCATTTTTGCTCACCAAGCAGTCAGCTTTTTTAGGCTAACATTTTAGTCAATCTCTTCCATAAGATAAGAACTATAACGTTACAACCAACTGAAGAATCTCTATACCCCAGCCTCAATTTGCTTAGAGACCTCCATCTAACTGCCAATCAAAATATATTAATGACTAATTTGTATTTATTTATTTTTGCCAACACTACCCTTATATCTGAAATAACCTGTGCTCATCCTTCTTCCCCTCTCATGCTTGTCATTTCACTTTCTTCCCAGGCAGCAATTCCATCCTCTTCTCATGCTTGCTTTGCCTGAGGTATCAGTCCCAGGGCTGGAGAAGCTGCCCATGTCCTCTCTGCCCTCTTTCTACTTCTGGTTGGAGCCCATCACATCGAATTTGGCTGACCAGAACTCTAACTCAGGATTTCAGCTGAAGTTATATGGGGGTATAATGGCATTAAAAACCCCTGTCTCTCCTAGATATTTCTTATCCAAGAGAGCTGACAACTATTTTTCCCCCCTCACAGCTCTGTTGTTGTTGGCTCACAGTCATTCTGTGCTTGATTAATGAACATAGGTTTCCTTCTTACATAATTTTTTAACAACTCTACTTTACAGCAGAAAAATCTCATTAGTTTCTTAGATTCAGGACTTTGCATGTTCTGACAGTAAACTGCATCCAAAATCTATTATTCTTAAGATCACCCAGTCACGTAAGCCAGATCTATAACTCTCTTACTGCTGATGTCTACCAAGTTTGTTATCTGTGAAGTTTATTATAGTATTTGTGTATTACCAAAATGATTTAATGAAAGCAAGATCAGGGCCAAGAACAGCTTTTCATTTAACTCCACTAGTGACACTCAAAGGCCCTTTCAAAACAACTCACTGCTGTTCTCTGTGACTTTCCAGCTCCTTCTCCTACACTAAATTTAATCTCTGGCTTAACAAATACTGCCTATATGTTTCAAGATCAAATGCCCTCCTTGAATCCAGAGGGATTTGTTCTTTTGCATCCTATATTGTTCTAGCATCATCTTTCCCTGCAGTTCCCCCAGTACAGTTTGCCTCAACTGCTGTACTTCCCAGAATTTCTTCAATTATTCTTCTAAATCATTCCCCACCCATAGGACTGGATCAGGGAAGAGAATCAGGACTTTCCTCATTTTCCTCACATCTTTCTCACTACAAGTAGTCTATTTGATGTTTTCCAGTCATAAAGGAAATGGCAACAAACAGATCTCTTTAGGACTTTTGCGACCAAGTTTTGGGGACTGTATTTTTTCCCCGTTTTCTTTAACGGGAATCCTGTGATGAACAATATTCAGCCTCCATTACCCAAGTTCCTTGAGCTGCTCCCAATGAAGTAATCTCCACTTTCTCCTCTAGTTGGTGAGATCTGAATCTCCACCCTGCCTCCTGGCCCTTCTTTCAGGGCTGAAGGGATCTTGGCAGAGGATGCCACTGACCTTCTCTATCGAAGCTGCTTCCTTTGCCAGGACAGCCTGAATGCCTGAGCAGGGACCCCGCCTCCTGCTTCCACTAGCAAACTGTGAACAGTGTGGACTGTGTAACTACTCACTGATGAACTTAAGCATTGAAACCAGAGCAGCCTGAAAAGCCCATGGGGCTCAGGCACTTGTAGTCTTGTGTCATGGAATACATCAATTCAAATCCCATTCAAAGACTTTAAACACTTGAATTAGGCAAGTGCTTTGCTCAGAGGCTGCTTATAAAAAAAGGGTTGAGTGGGTCTCCAAACAGCACAGCAGACTGTCATGACTGCAAATCCCAAATGAACCAAAACTTGTCATCAGCCTAGACTTGTTGCCTCACTCTCTGAGGCAGGGCTTAAGCTACACTGAGAAGCAAAGCTTTCTCCTGGCTGGTTTAATCAGTCTCCAGGTTAGCATGCTATGTAATGCAGCTTTCATCTGCAATACCAAGGCTTCCACCCATGCTTTTCAACATGCACAAAAGTCTAAAACAAGCCTGTGAATTTTCTATAGCTCCCTCTGACCTTTTAGTGAGTGTGCTTCAAACACATCACAAAAGTTTTATCTGCGTAACACTATATATGATAGTTATTGCATCTGATAAATTTAACAGAGCTCAGGTCTCCAGTGCATATGCAGGTCATGGACCACACTACTTCAAAGCCTCTATTCCTCTTTTATCTTACAGTATCCAGACCAAAACATGTCAAGTTTTAGTGCAGTTTTATAATTAATGCTTTCTGTCGAAATTTAGCTGGAATGTTTTTAGGACAGCAGTTTTTGCCATTTGAAAAGCATCACCTTCAAAAATAGGAATATAACATATCTGCTTTTTCATTCTTCCTGCTCTACTTCACAACTGCAAACTGACGTTTCACACTGTACAAAAAGAGGAAATAAATTGTTCCTAGCATCCTTTGGGCACTTATTGGCACTTCAAGCAGAGCTTGTACTTGTTCAATAAAAACAGAGCTGAAATGAAGACTGAGAGAGATTTGGCTGACTGGATGGGTATTTTTACAATGCAGGAAACCCCATCTGAGCATGTCACCTTGGGTTCTCCTTATGGTCGGTGAAAATTGAACTGATGTAGGCAGTGGGATACACAGATCAACTCTTCTCAACCTGAAGTATGCACCTGTGTGTGGCTGGATAAATAGCATCCCAAAATCGACCAGCTGTGGCAGGCACATAAACAAACAAACAAACAGTGAGCTCAGAAGAATACATCTCAGTTTTGAAAAAAAATGCCTTTGACTGCTCTGAAAACCTTTCAGCCCATTAAAACCCAAACACTATGATGGGACATTTCTTCATACATTAGTGACATTAGTGTAATCACTGGAGCTCATACCACTGGTGTTACCTGGTAAGCGTGGTCCGTGTGTACGAGGTAGAGGTTGGTAGGAGCTGAGCGGCTCAGAGGTGTCATCACTTTAGTCTCGGTTTTGGCACAGGAAGTTTCAGGACGGATTGCGTCTTGGGTGGGAAAGGAAGGAGGAGATGCTAAAGATGGAGAGACTGGGGAAAGACTGCTTAAGCCATCAGCTACTGAGTCCGTGTTGAGCCTGATTTCTGTATAGTAAAAATCCTCCTCTCCATCACTGTAGTCAGACTCTCCTACACGTCTGTATCAAGAGAAAGAAGAACTGATTGAAGCAAGAACTCCGAGGTAAATTCTAAGTTTTAGATGCGTGAGTGAATATATTCATATTGTCAATAAATTAGTATTTGCAGTTTCAACCCTTCCTAATTTATCTGCATTTTGACTGTAGGTAAGGAGAAGAGGAAAATCATCTAATCTGAAGGGAAAAGAAGTAGGAATTGCTTTTTTCCCCCTCTCTGTGTTTTTCTTGACAAATTGTTTCACTTTGGAGTAGATGTTTGACTCCTTCATATCAACTATCAGCTTCTCATTTGTAACTATTGAAAAGTTAACAAGAATCCCAACACACTCTGTCTGTGAAAGTCACAGCAAAGATAATACACACAGGCAAGATATACTTCACTCAGGTTACAGCAAACAATATGCAATCTTATCAGAAGTTACTTAATTATACCAAATATAGTTATGGCTGCCATTCACCATAACTTTCTGTAACATAACATAAGAATTTGCCAGAAAACAGTCTCACTCTGAAATTCACTCAGGCACAGAGAAAGCACTCATATGGGCTGGGTTGCCATGGCCAGGACTTTCTGGTCCTGCTCTCCAGAAGCACACTTATTGAATGAGGGTATGTAGGAGGTTTAATTGACTTAAAGTTTCATGTGATGCGCATTTGAGTGCAAGTGCTAACAGTGAAGCAACCCAGTCAAAGCAGTAGCTCCAGCACATTACATGTTACCTTGAAGTTCAAACCACAACTTGTTGAGAGAACTTAGGTGCAGCAGGTTTGAAAGGCTCTACCAGAAGTACCATCCATCAGAATGCAGCCAGTCACTCACCAAAACTATCATTTCCAAAAAGTTTCTAACTCCAGCAAACTACAGAAAGGTTTTGCTATTTACTTCTCCCTCTCCCATACCACTAAGAGGATGTCCCCATAATACAAGCACAAATCAACATTCCTAACCGCATTTGGAGAGACATTTTCTCTGTTTCCCACAGCCTTACTCTTAAGCCCAATGGTAATTGCTGACCTCTTCAAGACCATCCTCAGCTCCAGATCTTTCCTGTGGTGGTTTTAATTTTTAAGCTGTGGGTAACACAGACCTACAGAACAAAGATGTATTTTCACCTAAGAGGTGAAGACCACGAGTCCCCACTGTAATTATAAATGAGACAGGTACATCACTCAGTGAACTGCATAGGAGATATCAGTTGCAAATTGAAGCTCTGAAACAAACTTGTGTCCTAAAAGATTCATTTGCTTTTGCGTCTAGTACAAGTAACTTGCATGTGTGTCCTGGTTTTGCCTGGGCTGGAGTTAATTTTCTTCCAAGTAGCTGGCACAGAGATGTCTTTCGGATTTAGGATGAGAAGAGCATTGATAACACACTGATGTTTTAGTTGGTGCTGAGCACTGCTTACTCTAAATCAAGAACTTTTCAGTTTCCCATGCTCTGCCAGTGAGCAGGGGCACCAGAAGCTGGAAGGAAGCATGACCAGGACAAAGAGATATTGCATACCACAGGATATCCTGTTCAGTAAATACACAGGAGGGAATTAGCTGGGAGGTGCTGATCTCTACTTGGGGATAGGCTGGGCATTGGTCAGCAGGTGGTGAGAAATTGTAATGTGCATCACTCATTTCTCTTTAGTTTTGTTTCTCTCTCTCCCCCCTTTCATTACAAGTATTAGTCATTAGTATTACTGTTATTATTATCATCAGTGTTTTATTTTGTTTAAGCCATTAAACTGTTCTTGTCTCAACCCATAAGGTTTACTCTTTATTCCCTTGATTCTTCCAGGGAAGGAAGGGGATAGTGAGTGAACAGCTCCGTGGTACTTAGCTGCTGACTGGATTAAACCATGACAACATGCAGCTCAGTTTCCTTTTACTTTCAGGTTTCTTACGTGGTTTGTGGTTTTGGTGGGTTTTTTGGCATTAATATATTTATTTTGCATTAATTCAACTCAGAACTGGCACAAGCACCTGACCTGATGTGAAACAAAGCTGAAAAGTATTCATGCAAGACCCGGAGCCTGTTTATGGCAGTGTCATCCCGGACGTGATGTGCAGACAGCACATATGATGGAATGGCACTGAGCTGTGCAGCTGACAGGGAAGTGCAGTGTGACCTTGAGCTCTCTTTGACCTTCTTGCAAAGTTGACAAAATTTCAGGAAAGAAAGTGCCTCGCTGTTGGAATACGTGCACATTCACCTTGATGCACTATTCTGCAATTTCCTCAGAAACACAGGGATATGAGACAGAGAAGCCAAGGACAATCCAGTTCATCTCTCCAGCCAAGGGCAATTGCTCCTCTTCTATACCAAATCCAGACTCTCAAAAAGACTGCTCTCTTACCCAAGGTGAATGGTCCGTATGTGTTTCTGAATCCCTGCAGCTGTGCTCAGTACCTTCCCACAGTTCTTCCACAGGCATTTGAACATCACCTTCATGGAGTTCTGAAAATTATCAGTAAAGCAACATTAGTTGTATGGAAGTTGTAGGCATATTAGGAAAAATCTCTTCCCTGAAAGGGTTATCAAGCATTGGAACAGGTTCTCCAGGGAAATGGCTGAGTCACCAACTCTGGAGGTATTTAAAAGACTTGTAGATGTGTTGCCTGGGGACATAGTTTCTGCTGGACTTGGCAGTTAAGGACTTGGCTGGGTTAAGGGCTGAAAATTTCTGTGACTGTTATTCTGTGAAGGTAGAAAAAACCCCCAACTACCCAAACCAGATAAACAGTTAGAAAACACTGTGAAGGTTCAGAGCCTTTGACTCTAAATTTGTAATGATCTAACAGTCTCCTGTCAAGTGTGTCAACCTACTAAATTCAAGAGAATCTAGTGAAAAGCTGCAGAAGCAGCTTGTGACAAAACTTTACCTCTCTCTGTTCGCTGGCAACACTTTTCCATTTTTAAGTTTCAGCTCCTCCACTAATGGAAGTAGATGATATAAAAGCTTTCTACACTTCTTTCAAAAAGCCTGATGAGGACTTCTCACTTAATCCAAGGCACCTTCTTAAATTAAGGTCTTTCCAAAGCAAGCTCTTATGAAAGTTTCTGCTCATGATATCTGCAGCACTAAAAAAATGTGTGCCAGAAAAACACATCTTCTGTTATGTCAATATTTTCCAGGAGCTGGCACAACCTGCTTTTGTTTCACTCAGAAGCTGCTGTGACCTTATTCAGACAAGAGAACGAGAAGTTATCAGTCTGTGTTCAATATTAAAAAAAAAAATACAGGTATAATTCCATTTAAATATTCTTTTTATATTCTTTAATATAACTTCATTGATCCCCACTGAGTGATCACTGATTTAGAGCACAGCCAACAAGGCTATCACTAGGCTAATCTTCAACATTTTGAAGACTCTGAAGAAAAGTAGTCTTAAAATAACACAGATGTTACGAACTCTAGAGATATTTAAAAACTAATTTTACCCCAAAATGAAACTGATTTTGTACAGTTTAAATACAAAAAGAATTCTAAATAGCTTGTAATTCCCCAAAATAATTTTCTCTATGATTACAGAGCACATTATTAACACGAGGAAGAGCATCAAAATACTGTATTATTCTATAATTTTAGTTACATACAAGATTAAATTAATATATTCATATAAAACTCAATTTTAAAAAAAAGGAGGGGGGAACAAACACATCCCCTTAGGGTTAAGTACATTTCACTGTGCCTTGAACAAAAGCTGAGCTGGTGCTTTCTTCAATTTGGACCCTTTGGAACTGCATGCCAGTAGACGGTTCCAGCATTTGCTAAAAAGATATGATTAGAATATAACTTGAAAAAAAATCTCAGCAGATAGGCTTTTTAAAGCAAAAATTGATTGTAGTAGAGTGTTCTCATAGTTCCCTGCAGTCTAACATCCCTTGTTACTACTTATCTAAATAAAACATTTACTATACAAAGCAAAATCCCCGTGAACTAGAACAGATAATGTAATAGACCTATGGTGGGTACATAAATAGAAGTATTTGAAACAACTTAGAAAACAATGAAGATGGCAGCTGCAAACCATCTGTCTCATCACAGCTGAGCAGTAAGAGTGGTGCTAATAAGACGAAGGTTAACTGAGAAGTAAAAGGCAAACCAGGACACTTCTGCAGTCCTACTCCTCCTGTCCCCCACACCTCCAAATGGTCTCTCTGTTTAGTGCACAGCTCAGCTCCAACTTCTAATTTATTATAACAAAGGTGTCCTCCAAAATACGTTTTTCCGTCTTAGCAAGATGCACAGACATTTTCACCCCTTTCCCATGAACAAGGGACGAACAGCATGGGTCAGCAAATAAGCAGCTTCTGGAGCAAGAGGATAAATCTGAACAGGTTTAAACAATCATTAAAACTTCTTCCTGCTGGTGATGAAGCAATTAACTGTCACAGACTGAGCCAGAAACAAATTCACTAAGGGAATAAATTCTCTGTTTTTTCTCCTTACAAAAAGCCCTTTTACATCTTGCTATGTAAAATCTGTCCTGTTGTGTTGGGAGGGAAGGAAACTTGGACTAGTGCCATCTCTTTGTTTTCTTTTTCTTCCAGAGAAGCTTGCTGGCTAGCAACGGTGCTTTTTTGGGGTTAGTTTTGGACCCTTTTTTTTAATGCCATGTTTTATTTAGCCTGCTTTTGCCCTCCAACTGAGGATAAATTTGGCTAATGCTAATACTATATCAAAAGCCATCGGAGAGAGCGCTCTCTCCTTTTTCCACTCCGTATGTTTGTGCAGAGAAACCTCCACAGTATTAAGGTATCTGACATGCTGTCAGACAAACAGTACTTTCAGGGAACAAGGAGTATTAAGGCCATACTCAGTTTTTGTGATGACATGTAAAGGCTGCCTGTTGCACACAGAGAATTTGTCAAAGTAGGACAGAGATCCCTTGAATGGCCAGAGGCAACACCTTCTGGAAATCACTCTAGTGTTTTCTGAGCAGGAGGCTCTGTAGCACCTCACCATCTGGCAGGAAATATGTGGTGCTGATGGCAGCATGTGTGTGCAGGAGGTGACCACGTTGAATATGACACAGTGACTAGGAGAAGTCCCTATGTTAAACTGATGCCAAGGAAAGATATATAAGCATTGGTATTTGGGTGACCTGCTCCTTTCTCACAACAAAATAAGCTTACCAACATTCTATCTACCCGTGGGTATGGAATTTAACACGAGGCTAACCTTTCTCTTCCTAGGAATGGGTTCATCGAAGAGAAGGTTGCTTGTTTCACCTTCATCAATACCATCATCTGGCTGGGAAGGTGTCCGAAAAGCTTTGAAGCTATCAGCTGACAGAGGTGGAGATGGGGTGGATGGGTTGGATTGGTCACTGGGAGCATTCCAGCTCCAGTATCCACTGCTGCTGGTACTAGAAGGCACAAATCCTCCTTCCTTCCAAGACCCATTCAGGGATTCTGTCAAGAACAACACAAGCTATTATTACAACAGTATCATCATGACAGGGCTAAGGAGCTCTTTTTTCTAAGGTTTAGATGCCATGTTGGTAATTAACTGCACATTCAATAAAGGAAGGTGAAAGCACTGGATGTAGCAAGGACAACCATATCTAACTCACTGCACACAAATCACATATTCCACACCTGATTTTTATTTTATTTAAAACAAACATACAAACAAACAAACAAAAGCAGCAAAGTATTTTTCTAAAAAGAATGTTGCATTTGAAAAGATAACCTGTTCTGAAGCATAAACAGCAATAAACCGTCATATATTGCACGCATGATTTAAGGACAACACTTAAATTGACCTTTAAAGGTCCCTGCAAACCCAAACTATTCTATGGTTCTAAATATATCCTCAACGTCCAATAGGAGCACGTGACTGATGCGGCACCAAAGCAAGCTCCAAGCCACCGTATGGCTAACAGGAGATCCCCTGGGAAGGGGACATACACTTTGAGCCTCAGAACACTAAGCATATCCACAAAAACATGTCCATCTTCCCAGCAGTAAAACACCAAAGAAAACCATAGTTACATTCTGTGTTCTTATAATCTCTCAATATACACGCCTCTGCGTAATCGGAATCTCCACATGAGATGGTATGTATCCCTTGGGACATACAGGTGTACAGGCATCTGGTTTCAGAAGCAGAACACACAGACACTGGATCACCTCCACACCTACTCACTGGAGCAACTGCCTCCTCAGAGCCGCAGTTCCCCTGACATTACATGGTAAGAAGGCACCTGAACTAACAGCTTACACTCTGCAGCACCATGGGTGCGAGTAACAGCACTGCCTGTGCAGCCTGAGGCACAGCTTGAACCAGGCTTCACATGCAGGGTTCCTCAGGCATTCGATGCCAGCATGTCACTCTCACCAGTTCTTGAAGGGCTCCTGGCAGCAGAGGAGTATATAGGTCATCAGCCCAGAGAAGGCATGGCCTGAGCACATCCAGGGTGCAGCCACAGGCGGCTCTGCCAGAACCTCAAGTTCTCACAGGGCTCGGGCAAATGCGCAGGCACGTTTAGGTGTGGCTTCTCCTTAGCTCAGGCATTGGAAGCTTTTCCCAATGACACTGGAGGTGCCTGAGTATTGTGCAATACTTGACTTTGTGGAGCAGCAAGCAAATAACATCTTATCTGTTCATGAAACAATATTTAAGTGTGAGACAAGTCCTTTCAAGCCAGTGCCTTTCTTTAAAAGATCTGCAGAAGTCACTCCTGCATTCCTTCTCAATTTCTTACAGATAAATTTAACTAACGATATTGGCAAGAAAGTGAGCTATCAAAAGCTTATTCCCAAACCAATGAATTTTTGCTTTTTTTTCTCCTAATTCAGTTGGTTTTGGAGAAAATCCTTAATGACTAACATCAGCTGCTCAAAAAACCAGAACGCAGTGCCCCCTTGAGTAGGCAGCAGTACTGATTTACTGATCAGGACCACACAGCATAAATGGAATTGATCCTCCCCCTCCACCCTGCCCAGTTCCTCTTTGGAAATGACATACATACACATTTCTGGTAGCTCGTAAGTTAACATATGAAAATCTCATGTTTTGTCTCATGATTACAACCTTCATGTGACTGTAATGAAGGTGGGTTTTGTTTCTTTTAAATATTTGGTATTTCAGTCTTGTGTCAAAGCCAAAAAATACATCTGGTATCAACCTGTGACCTTAGCATAGCTCATATCTTCAGAAAAACAAACACTCTTTCAACTACTACCTTCTGACACAGTTATCGTGGCACCTTGTATTCTCAGTGTTTACAGCTTCTTTGCACCTTGTTGAGAAAAAGATGCAAATCTAGAACATTTTTAAAGTAGCATGGAAAAGACTGAATGAGGTTGACAACAGGAAAAAGCCAAACATTGGTTCTCATTCATACTAACAAATCTGTCAATGTAAAGAAATTTAATATATAAATAAATGCAACTTACTCTTATTTGGGGGCTCTTTTCACATTGCTGGAGTTGCGTGAAAGAGAACCAGACCAAATATTATTCAGCTGCAGAGAGACAAGGGCCAAACTCTGATCCAGTTTACATGGGTGATCATTTCCAGGAATTCCAGCATGGATCTGACTTTAATATTATTGCTATTGTTATTTTTTTTTTACTTCTAAGCAAAATTCCATTTGTTTTAACAAATGGTCCTTTAATTATACTGCTACTTATTTCCCTTTTTTGGAAAAGCGTGTAGAAAAAACTAATCACTAATATATTTGTTGCTTGTATTACTAGGATCAGAGCCTAGCCTTGCAACACTAAATAAGCTTTAAATTATCAAGACTTTACACTTCCATTCAAGTCTTTAGTAAAACTTAACTAAGGCAAAACTAAGATATTCAGGGAGAAGGTGCCCAAAACTAGCTTCAAAAACTTGTGACTACTGAAAACACGTGAATTACTTTTTCAGGCTAGTCTTCCCAGATTTTGGGAAACAAGCAGACAAGCTATATGAAGAAATATCAAAGAGCACTCAGACTATGGTAAGAAATATCAAAGGCAGCTAAACAGCCATCATTTGCCTATTAGCAATTCAAAAGGGCTTGTTTGGAAGATCTTTCCAAACAGCTGCAGCTAATGTGCACTGCTGCTCCTGACCAGTCTAAGGTGGCAGATATTGCTTCACCTGCAGTAGAACAGCTCCCCAAGACAGGATGCAGCAGGGGACACGTCTGTGCCTTGGCCACACCAAATCCCTGCCTGCCACATCAAGCACAGATCCATCTTCAGCTGTGGTTTTGTCTATGAGCTGAGCAGCTGGAGAGCAGGTGTGCTTTTACCCTTCTGCTGACCTTTCCCAGGGGCTGGCAACATCCTGTCCTGAGGCTGAGTCACCAGGGATGTCAATGCCTGAGGTTTCCCAGGGCTCCTCAGAGCACTGGCACTCCAATAAACACTTTTGCCTTTCAACGCTGGAAAGCACATGAACAAAGGCCATGGGTGTTCATGGCCAGAATTCCAACTAAAGCCTTATTGTGGCTTTAGGTAAAATCTGATCTCATTTCCATGGAGTGGATGACAAGAACAACTGCTATCATGTTTCCTGGATGTGGCACTCAGGACATGGTTTAGAGGTGAACATGGTGGTGGTGCCAGGCTGATAGTTGAACTTTGTGATCTTAGAGGTCTTTCCCAATCCTAACCATTCTACAATTCTAGGACTTTGCAAATGCAAACAAACTCTTTGAAAAATTGTTTCAGTGAGGTCAAGAGACTTTTTGAAGTGCTCATATCCCATTTATGGAATGACCATCTCCCATTTCATAAACGAGAGCTGCTCTATAGTTAAAGAAAACATTTCTTTTCATATCTGCCCATGCTGCACCAAGGACACAGTATGATCCCCAACATACCAGAAGACAGCCACTCAGCATTTGTACTCCACCATGGCCACACTCCTGGAAATAAGCTGCCCAATAAAGGGCCCTGGCACCCCTTCCCACAGCCCCTGGCTCCAAAGGCTTACCATTGGGTCGGACAGGAGGGCTGCGGACCAAAGGGCTGGTGGATAAACTGGTGAGTACCATGGCTGCTGTTACTTTATCCATGTCCAGTTCTTCTGAAGATTTCCTGAAACACAGTGAGTGGGAGGCAGGAAACACATCAACAAATATTTAACGTTTTTTAGTGTGGGTTTGTTTTTTGTTTTTTTCTAATACCAGTACAAATCCTAAGCCAGCTCAGTACAGTAACAAAAGCAAGCTGCTGCACAGAGTTCTCCAAGCATTGGTCTTCTGGCAACCTGAGCACATCAAGAGGCTTCTATAAGCAAACTAACTCCGTGTAAATAAGAAAAGAAGTGGGAAAAGAGACTACATCTTTGTATAAAATTTTCAGCATGCTGTGACTCTCTATAACTTTAACTTTGTTCCTTTTTAATTTTTCAGGATTTCAGCTATTCATATTCTTAGAGCTAAGTGTGCTCTTAAGCTGGTTTTCTTGGACTAACACATGCAGATGCAAAATTGGGTGAGATTACTAGCAACAATAACACCTTACATTACTCTCTGTAGGGAAAAGAAAAACCACGAACTGGAACTAAGGGATGTGTGTTTGTTGCTTCTGCTTAACACTATTAACATTCCTATACTCTCTCCAAAAGTCTGATCCTAAATTTTTCTTGGTCAGATTAAAAACCAAATATTTAAAGTAACTAGGAAACTGGCATAAAAATGGTGCAGGAGGAGTAGGAGGGAAGGGGAGAGAAAGGGAGAGAGGGAGAGGGAAAGGGAGAGGGAGGTTGTTTTGCAGGTGTGATGGGTGCCTGAACTAGCATGATGGCACAGGGGCCCACTGCTGCCTCAGCCTGGTCTTGCTGGGAACCTGTGTAATTCAGAGGAGAGGACATGGAGAAGGGGTAATAATGGAAAGGAGAGAGGCCAGCTTTCCAGGGAAAGGAAGAGAAGATTTGGACAATGGCAAATGCCACAAGGAACCAGGATTCAGTGATCTCTTGTTCAGGGAGTCATGGAGTTTTATTTAGGCCATGAAGGAAATTTTTTTTTGTCAGTAAAAATTATACTCTGTCTTTTTAACTCAACAGTAACTCTTTCACAATGTGAAATTTTTGAGAAGTCAATGCACCAAAATAAAACTACCAAACCCACTATGTTCAGCAGACTTCAGCTTTCCATTCTTGTGGGTTGGAAATCCTTGTGGGATTTCCACCTTGTGGGTGGAATCAAAGCAGATCATTTTTTGAAAACGTTTGCTTTTCAAACATATGACTGATCATCCAAAAATCATCTTCTCAATTCCTAGAGATCAAGTTAATTTAATTCTTACAAAAGGACACTTCCTCTCCCCAGTCCCCTTTTCCTGTATTCTGCTTTCTGGTCTTTCTTGGATGTATCTCTCTGCCTTGCCAGGAGCTCTACTGAACAGATCAGGTTGAGTCTAATTTAAAGCCCAAGATAAGAAGTGGTCAGATACCTGCTGTTTCCCATCAGCTGCTGTTCAGTAAGTCACCAAGAGGAACAGGACGTGCTGCGTGCACTCCCTTTTCTGGAATCCTATCTCACCCATCAGGTGGAAGGTTCATTAACTGGAAAGTATACTACAGTCAAAGGCTCTTGGTATTTTAGTGAGCAAACCTTGAACTTGCCCATGGAATGGTTCACAGCTGCTTTCTGGCTGATGCAAGGACCCACACATGCTGATGAACACTTTCCCACACCACACAGCAGCTTAACTCTCACAACTTTTTGCAACACGTCAGTGCCTGGAACTGAAACACTGATGATGGTTCCTGCTGTGTTCTGATTATACCAGTAGAAATACTTCTTTCCTCCAGCCAAGGCTTCTGCAAAGAGCACAGCAGCCATATGGTCATCATCAAGCACTGGAAAGGTCTTGGATATCTGCTATAATCAGATGAATCCTGAATCTGTCACCCATTAGCTCCTCATGCCTGCAGAAGTGTGTTTCACTCAGAATACCAAATTCCTCTGGGCTCAGAACATCCTTCCTCGGAGTTAACATGGAGATGCTAGACTTTCTTAAGACCAACACTGCCAGATGATTTTCCAATTACCTAATATCCCGGTATGAAAATCTGTTAATGAAAATAGTTTCTGAGAAGGCTTCACCTGCTCTGTAGCCCGCTCTTGCCAGACTACACCAACGGTCCTTGTGACTATCCAGTTGTGAATAAACCACTATTATCTGCATTTCTGCAACATATGAGGACAAAATGAGCAAAAATTCCTGATAAGATGGAGAAGCTGATCTCTAGTGTTTGCAACCAGCCTTCCAATAACCAGCCTTCTTCTGTGTGTGGCAACAGGATTAACACATTGCCATCCAGCCCCTGCAGAACTGCAAAATCACACTACATGAGCTGTTTCAAGTGTTTGCCAATTTGGTGTCAAGATGTCAGAGTACAGACTCAGAGCTACTCCCAAAGTTTCCCTAAGCAGTTTCTTCTAGTTCTGATTTTTCTCTCCCCTCTACAATGATAAGCACTACTGTTCTAAAAATCTAACCCTTGCTCCAAATAATTTTACAATGTCCCAAATTTGTCAGCATTGGCATCTGTGCCGAAGGTGAAAGCTTTCAAAAGCAGGCAAAGAATAGGAATAATCATGAGAATCCTTGCCATTTCCAGCCATGCTAAACCACACTCTTGCAATTACTGGAACCGTTTTTTTCTTCCTGATATAATTCAACAGGCTAACAGCCCAAATAAAACAAAGTTTGGACTTTTTCTCTGCCCATTTTGAGTGACAGTAATTTTTACTATCTACTGCTCCTCAACTGCATCCAGCAAACAAGAACACTCTGCTCATACTTCCCAGAGGAATTTAACCAGCTACAAGTGCTGGCTTATGTGACTCTGTTCCATTTTTACAGTTTGGCTCATAAATGTAAACACACATATTTCATATATCACTCAGCCAGTACTGCAGAAGCAGCAGCAGCAGCCTTTGAGATACAGGCAAGGCATAAAACTGAAGACAGCAACCACTTAAGCCATCTGCATTTAGTCAGCATCACATGTGAGTTGATGCCTTAAGACTGAGTGCCTCAGTACTTTCCAGCTTTCTCTGCTGGAAAGCTGAACCTGCACACAGCTGTTCAACACTATTTGGACTCAGAGAGGAGAATAACTTGTTTGTTATGCATCAATTGTTCCCAAAAATTTATCCCACCATTGCTAAGGCGATTTTCTGTGGACTGAAATCATAAGCCCTGATGTTACTGTTACCAGGTGTAATGAAATTTAAACCAGTTGTAAGATCATCTACTACATCAACTATGAAGATTTCTTTTTTCTCTAACCTCACATCCCAGTCTACAAATGCCACCTCCCAACTTCTGGATGGACGTATTTGTGTCAGCCCAGGCTGCATATGAGAACCAAGAAGTTTTGGATCCTCTCTTTCCAAGTGTTTGTAAATCCAAAGACATGAAACAGCCAGCCAGCCTGACAATTAAAAGTGTCCTTTTCTTTACCAGTCAAGGCTCATCAGACTTGGTTACTACATTTACTTCTGATCAATCATTTCCTTGATTTTGCAGATGAATTTATTGCTTTTTTGATAATAATTTATCAGTGTTAACCAACCAGTCAAAGCCCTATAGAAGGAAAGGCTGGGTTTAAGCTCCAATAAATGAGAAAAAGAGGGTCCAAGACAAGTCCAAGGCCAGGCAAATGTTCCAAATCAATGCAATGACCAATCTCCTACTGTCCCATTTCTTCTGCAAGCTCCTGGCCACTGTTACCTTCAAACTCTCTACCAAGTATTATTCCCATCTGGACACATCTATACGACTGTTCTATTCTTCTTCTATTTTTTAGGACTTGCTCTCAAATAAATCTTTAAAAATACAAATTTTATTATAGTTTTTAAGTCTTTAGACTACTCTTTATTACTTGACTGGCTTAGATTAAAAAGGATGCAGTCCTTCCTCTTGGAAAGACTGCATTTTAAGTCAGTACTTTACCCAGGCATATTTTAAGGGTATTGGAGAATATTCTTAGAGCAGAGAAAGTGGTAGTGGTAGCAAGTGCTGTTGATAAAATTGACCTTATTGAAGAGCACAACCAAGTTTACTTGAAGGAAAAAAAAAATATCATTTTCCCTTGACACAACTGCAAAGCTTTCAGTTAGTTCCCAGAGCAGAAACCTCTGACCCCAGTCCAGCAATGCTGAACCCATGGCACTGCTTCGCTGTGCTGCAAGGGCTCTCACACACTCCAGAGCTGCCCCAGCACAGCCTGAGTGTGGGCCAGGTAAAGTTTCCTCACCAGGGCTCCACTCCCATTGAAAGACGAGAGGAACAGCAGCATCCTGCAGCTGGCAGGACCAGGCTGCAAGGGGAAGAAACTGCAGCACCAGGAGAAGAGCCCCGGGAAGGGGAAACGGATTGGTAAGGGCAATTACTTCAAGTGGATATTGGCTACAAAAGTTGATGGTCACAGAACCAAGCTTCTTCTCCAGAATCACATATCCCTGCTTTCCAGCATTGTTGAGCCTGCCTTTCCTTATCCTACTTTATAAACAATAACCACCTGAAGCCTATAGGCCCTAAACATTCAGATTTACTAAAAGGCTTACATTTTCCTTTGTTTTAGAGGAGTCATGTGCTTATCTGTTTCTTACTGCCATCCTCACCAGAGGGACACAATAAAAAAAATGAATTAACTAGGACTGATAAGAAGAGAAGCAGTCAAGCACAAAAATGCTGTTATTCCATGTTAACTGTCTACTGTCCTCCACACAAAATTCAGCTTATGATAGTGGCTCACAAAACATCTGGACCTTTTGTAAGAAGTACCATATAAATATGTGTGCATTAATAATCTATAACTGGGACAAAATGACACTACATTTAAATTGCTCTCTCCCTCCCACACTGACATGTGCTAAATTCTCATAAAGAGACCTCTGAAACCTGAGGCTGATCATTCGACTACAGCCACATCACATTGATAATGTCACACTGAGCACTGCATCAACACTGATAAACATGTTGTTAGAAGCTTTCAACACCAAAAAAAAGATTAATCATAAAATGAATCATTGTAATCAGTGTACTAGTAGTAACAGAAGGACTTCTGAAGTAAA